CTGTGCTGCAAAAGGACTTCTTGTTTAGTGGAATTTTGTTGAAGCCACATCATCAAAATAGTAGTTATTAGCCCTGGCTGGTGTAGCTCAGTGGATTGAGCGCGGGCCTGCGAACTAGAGGATTGCAGTTCAATTCCCAGTCAGGGCACATGGGTTGCAGGCCAGTTCCCTGCAGGCCAGTTCCCAGCAGGGGACGCACTAGAGGCAACCATACATTGATGTTTCTCTCCCTCTCTCCTTCCCCTCTAAAGATAAATAAAATCTTAGAAAAAAATAGTAGTTATTAAGAACATTTTCTCACATTGAGTGGGACGTGAAAAATAAGTTTTACCATGTAAAATGCTACAAGGGAGGCGAGACTTTCCCCTCTACCCTCTCTGATTCTGTGACTGGGCTTGCGAATTAAACTGACCAAAGACAGATTAACAGCAGACAACCATAAACATTTTTACTTGGTGTTAATATCTTTACATGGCATGAGAACATTTCTAGAAAGGAAATAAACAAGCATTGGATATAGGCCCGAGAGCTTAGATGCCATTTCAACAAAGAATGACAAATTGTCGAGCTGTGACAAGACGAAGAGGAAGGGATTTGAGAGAGGTTGGCAAATTGTGGGAAATTGATGGGGGAAACTCAAAAAAGGGTTATTTTATCTCTGTGTTATTTTCCCAACTCCAGTGATAAAGAATGCTCTCTTCCTGGTACAGGGAGAGCATCTTCTCACAGGAAATTTTATGTCCTGGTTTTAGATAAAAAGGGGAGATCAGAAATTCCTTCCTGCAGCTGCTATTTCTCAAGGGTCTTCAGCTCAAAATAATCAATATACCAAAGTGGCATATTTTAGTGTGACATATTCTCATTTACATATATTCAAACATGCAAAGAAATTGAGCAAAATGACCTACATGTACTCAACATCCAGTTTTACAATTAATTATTATTAACTCACAGCCCATCCTTTTCATCTCAATGCAAATCTTCCCCTTCACACCTAGTTCCCCCTTCCCCCGAATCATTTTGAAGTAAATCTAAGAGCACATGTAATGATATTTTTTAAAAGTTTGTAAAAATATATTTATTTTAAGGATCTATGATATTCTAATTTTTCTAAAAAATTTTACTTCCATTATCTTGATCAACTTTGTTAGTATTTTCCTTACAGATGAAGGATTATGGATATAGAGAAAGAGGTTAAGGGATCACCTCTTTGATTTAGTCTGGTTCCATCTAGCTGTTTAAGCCAGGAACAAAGGAAACATAAATTATCACCCTCTGTATTCTTCAAATGCATTTGGTGGCCAACGGCTGTCAAATCTTGTCCTCTTTCCATCTCCGTCACTCTTGTGCTTTCCTACTTATTTACACTACTTCAATCTGTTCCTCTCCAACTGTATCTTGTAGAGAGTGGTAATTATAATGATCATTCTGAAACACATCTGATCATGTCACTACCCTACCAAATGCTCTGGGACCAGGGATCCTTTAGGTTCAGCTCCCAGTTCTGTTGGCTAACATCCCCTCTACCCCCAATGTCTGAACACTCCCAATTTCTAGAAAAGACATTACAAATTTGAACATTTGGCATCATTCAAAGTAACTTGGGCCAAATAGCTGATCTTCTCTTAGGACAAGATATGGCCTTGGCTATGTATGGTTCACACATCTTGCCTCTTTTACCTATTGAGTTACCTGCCTGAGGGCTGCAATCAGTATTCTTTGGTATGGCATCTGAGCCTCTTCATTGCAGCATAATCTTCCCTTTCCCAACTCTTCCCACTTCTCCCATACTGGATTGTTGAATATACCATGGCAAATACTATGCCTCTGTGTCTAACCCCTGCTTCCATTTCCAGCCTCTGTTCCTACCTGGGTTTGTCCAACTTTAGCATCATTCTCTGCCTGGAACCACATCTCATCTACCCAGGTATCTTCGAACACATCCTAAAACACTGTTATAGTTTTCACGTCTGGCCATTAATTTCTGCACTTCTTACACCTGTCAGCAGGTGTGTGATGTCTTCCTTTATTCTTTCCTTTCTAAAAGCTGTCAGTGCTTGCCACAGTACTTTGTGTACTATAGGGGTTCAGGGTAGATTGGATGAATGATTGGCTGGTTTAATTATCTTTAGGCACTAAGACCCCAAATGGATTGAGTAGTGTTCAGGGCACTTAAGATCACAGCCAGTCCAAATATACTCTTTGTTACTTGTGAAACTCTGGGCTTATGCTAATTCCTCTAACTGGGTCTCAGAAATGAATGTTGAGAACCCCAAAGGTTTTGCTAACAGTCTAAATGGAATTCATTTAATTCTTTGGTTTCAGTCACAAACCTATGATCTGTGATTTCTGAATCTTGCCTTTGTATTTTAGACCAGAGAATGTTTTTCTCTCTGCCTCCTCTCTTTTCCTTTTCCCCTCTCACCTGTATATTAATACTTACTTATCAATCTTTCAACTGGTTTGTTTGCCTAGAGAAATTAAATTCCTCTAGAACCCTTACCCCTGGGACTCATACCTTCATTCATTTTCAAGTTTAAGTGAATCTTCTTGGCCTTGTGCTTTTGAACTGGCTCACACAGATCCCAACTGTCTTGCCTTGTGTGGAAGAGGGATTTGAAGAGGCTAGGTTGACAAGTATCGGGTGGCCTCATGGGGTAAGGGAAATTGCCTTTTCTCCTTAAACTCTAAACTCTTCAGGAAGACTTTATGCCATGTAATGGACCTGGACCGTGTGGGTTCTGGTTCTGACTCTGACACTAGTTTAATGTTTTCAGGTCTGTTCTGGTAAGAGAGTTACATTTCATGATACATAAAAATAGTCTGTCTTTTGAAATAAAGCAGATTTGAGTAAAGAAAAGAGACCTGTAGAAACTACTATCTTTTTTTTAACCCATGATGAATATGAGTTTCTTAGGGCTGCTGACAAATTGCCATAAATTTGGTGACTTAAAACATCAGAAATTTATCTTTTCACAGTTAAAGTCTAGGAATTCTAAGTCGAGGTGTCAACAAGGCCATGCTTCCTCTCAAAACTTCAGAAAAGAATCTTTCCTTGCCTCTTCCTAGCGTCTGGTGGCTCTTGGCAGTCCTTGGCATTCCTGGCTTGTACCTCATCGCTTTGACCTCTGCCTCCAGAGTCACATGGCCTTCCCTTGTGTCTCTGTGTGTCTCCGAGTCTGCGTGTCCTCTTCTCTTATATGGAAACCAGCCATTGGAGTTAGGGCCCACCCTAAGTTAGAATGATTTCATCTTAATATACTTTAAATGTCAACAGCCTTATTTCTTTTTAACTTTTAAAATTTAAATGTATAATTTTCAAGAATAGAAGTGTCTTTTTTTAAAAAAGATTTCTTCCTAATAGGCAAATTCTGCCCCATGTTTTTCTTATATAAAATGATAACATGGAAAATTAATTTGAATGTTAATTATTTTAATAAACCTAAACTTTTCCCCTGAGATATCAGGTACATCTAACCCTTTCTTGATTCCATTTACTTTTCCCACTCCCTGTCATTCAGGCATTGGTATTGGTAGTTGGTAGTTGAAAGAAATTAGTTTTATCCCTCAACATTACTTCAGGTGAAGATTTTCTAGGTCCCAACTAAGATTTTTAAGGGCTTAAACTATAAAATATTTTAGCTCCTTTGCATGTTCTAAACATAGAGAGGAAATCCATTTTATCTTCAAAGGACAAGACTATGATAGTTCTTAAGATTTGATTTAATTCTGTCTATTGTGTTCTCTTCAGGCTACTTAGTTGTTCAGCAACGGGATGAATGGATACTTTGTATGGTATGGAAACACTTTCTTAGGTAAAATGGTACAATTCTCACTGTAACTTCACATAGCACTATACTACTAATCTAATTATAATAAAAGGGGTTTGTTTCCTTCTAATGTTCACAGAACATTGAAATATGTCTTATCATAGGTAATAATCGCAGATAGAAAATATTAAATAATACTTAGGTTAATTTCTTATTCTTGGCTCAGTCCACTTTATTGCACCACAAAGTACCTGGACACCTCACATCGTGCAATCAGAATGACGAGACAGCTCACTTAAAGACTATGGAAGACCAACACTCACATACTGCTTTTATTAGATCAAGCAAGAGCTACTCTTTTTAGTGGAAGATATAAAGTCATAACATGTTTTGTTAACTTTAAACATGAGAATACATTACTTTGAGAAATGTATTTATGTATGTATGATAAATTTATGATAAAGCACTGTTTGAAATAGTTCTTCAATTTATCAGTAGGAGATTCGCAGTAGGAGATTCTGGTTGATTCCATAGTTTCAAGCAAATTTTGACTTATTACCTCAGAAGAGAATTATGCCTTCTCCTTCACACACACACACAAAAAAAAGATCTCACAATTCTATGAGAGGTTGTTTTCTGTTTTTGGCAGACCAATATGTACTGGTCTTTCAAGAAATAAACAAGAATGAGAGATTTGACTTGGAATTTACTTTTTTTTAATAGGCGCTTGCTAAGGCCTTGCTTGGTCCAGCATGCTGCACAATGGGGGAGGCAAAAGGAAAAGGGCCACGCACCTCTCTGCAGGCTCAGTGATGATTTTGGAAAGTGAGACAAATGTTAACTCTTATAGGATTGGTATCACAAATAAGAGGAAGCAGTTTTATTTATTCAAACACAAGAGCTGTCTATCTTCAGAAATTGAGCTAAACTCTCCAAACTTAAAGTTGAGAACTTGGTAAAGCTTACAATCAATGGTACAGAAATGTAGTATAACATTGCATTCTTTCTTTCTTTGTTTTTCAGTTATAGATAAAGCAACTTGCAAAACCTTCCTGAAACACAAAGCAGGAAGAATAGTATTTATTTAAAATAATATCATTATACCTCTTTATCCGTCAAAGCAGCTTCATTTTATGATTCTCTCTTCTGTGCTTAAATCTTAGGTCAAACATTGGATAAACCAAAGGGTGTAGGACAAAATAAGTGATTTTCATAGTCTTACTCTTTGCAATGGGAGTGCTGAAGTTCAAGCATATCTTCTTTAGGAGCTTTGTTGGGTCCAGTGGAGCATCCCAGGTTGTGTTCACCTTCCTTCTGATACCCTGTTGCTTGACTAAGGATTTCAGAGCACCCCCTTATCTCCCAGATATTCCTTTCCTCTGGGCTTGGAATGCCCCAACTGAACCTTGTTCTAAGAGGTTTAATGTGTCCATAGATCTGAGCCTCTTCTCTTTAATAGGCAACCCCCAAAAAGATGCCATAGGACAACCCATTACATTATTTTACGTTGATAGACTTGGCTTATATCCTCATATAGATAAGCATGGCAAGAGTGAGCATGGAGGAATACCCCAATCGGGTTCCTTACAAGCGCATTTGACTAAAGCTAGGACAGACATTGACCATTACATGCCAAAAGATGATTTGGGCTTGGCTATTATTGACTGGGAAGAATGGAGGCCTGTCTGGGCAAGAAACTGGAAACCTAAAGATATTTACAGAAATCGATCTATTGAGTTGGTTCAGCAACAAAATCCACGACTTAGTCTCACAGATGCCACCAATCTAGCCAAACAACAATACGAAACAGCAGGAAAAAAATTCATGCAAGAGACTTTACAATTGGGAAAATCACTTCGGCCAAAACACTTATGGGGTTACTACCTTTTTCCTGACTGTTACAATCATCATTATGCTAAACCTCAATATAATGGGAGTTGCTTTGAATTGGAAAAGAAAAGAAATGATGAGCTCAACTGGCTGTGGAATGAAAGCACTGCCCTCTTCCCATCCATCTATTTGAACACCTTCCTAAAGTCTTCTCCACGAGCTGCACTCTTTGTCCGTAATCGTGTTCAGGAAGCCATTCGGGTTTCTAAAGTACCAAATGCTCAAAGTCCACTTCCGATTTTTATATATACTCGTCCAGTTTTTACTGATGTATCTTCTCAATACCTTACTCAGGTAAGTAAATCAAGGTATGAGGGCTATGCAATAGTTCCACAAATAGTGTTTGGGGGAATTTAACATCATTAAAAAAATTTGTAGAGTTTACTTGAGCTAAACTGATGACATATGCCATCAAATGCTCTAGCACCTGATGGCAAAATCTCAAATGCTCTAGCAAGATAATTTTTGAAGGGAGTGAAATTTAGCTTTTGTTATCCTCTAGGAATATGTACACTGGCAGTTCTACATTATTATATGAATGTAAAATTAAGAATATATTTCATTTTAATGTAATCATATCTTAGCAATCATAGAAAATTAAGTAGTATAGGCAGTGTATTTATTAACTTAGTTCCTTTTTTTTCTTTCTTGGGTCTGCTCTCCTGTCAATAGAAGAAATACAAATTATATAAATACCTATATTTTTGTTATGGTAGTGCAAGGGTGGTTTGAAAGATGAAAATAAATCATGGGGAAAACAAAAGAAGAAGAATATTTTATAAAACATGAAAATTATGTAAAATTTAAATGATTATTGATAGGACAGCATTTTTAGCTTTGGTGTTACTGTCTATGTATAACACTTCAGTTTTATTTCTGTTAACTTTCTGTCATATGTTCCAGGAAGACCTTGTGAGTACAGTTGGTGAAACTATTTCTCTAGGTGCCTCTGGAGTTATAATGTGGGGAAGCCTCAATTTAAGCCAAAGTGTGGTAAGTTGAATTGATAAGACATAGATGAAAACATTTCTACTTTTAATGTTGTTGAAGATTATTGTAGTATTGAATAATTCTCTACTTAGAACATAGTTGGTGGTGCTCAGTTAATATTGGCTGAATCAAATCATCTTTCACTTGTGTGGTTATTTGGGGGAACAGAAAATACCATATCTGTTTTTCAGTGAGAAAACAGAAATTTGGTGAGATTAATTGAAGTTCTCTAGGCTCTCTGCTCTAGGTCTAGTCTTAGTAAAACTAAGTTCTCTTAGTGTTACTTACAAGTCACTTTACTAAGTAAGACTTACTAGCCACAGAACTACAATCTTCATTTTCTGACACAGTGTTTATGTTTCTTTCTATTACACCATGCTGTGTCTCTTTTCAATAAAGGTCTGAGTAGTCAATGGACATTCTTTATTCTTATTTATTTATCTTTAGAGGGGAAGGGAAGGAGAGAAGGAGAGAAATATCAATGTATGGTTGCCTCTCATGCATCCCCTGCTGGGAACTGGCCTGCAACCCAGGCATGTGCCCCAACTGGGAATCGAACCTTGATACTCTGGTTCGCAGGCCTGCGCTCAATCCACTGAGCTACACCAGCCAGGGCTGCACTCCTTCCTTTTTTTTTTTTTAAGAACTGAGGACTCCACCTTATTCTGGTGAGGAATGAATCAGGCATTCCCCTATCAGTAGGATGATGTGACATATTATTTAATTGTCACAGTTTTCTTTTACTTTCACTTTCATCTTAGGCTCACATTCTTCTATCAAGATGCCCAGACTGTTGTCAGTGTTATTTGTACAGAGACAATCCTTCAACCTTAAAGTAACTACTTTCTATTTCATTACATTCCTTTGTAATTGCTCCTGTGGACTCTGTTCTATATACTTCTGCTATATTCCCATTGTACAACTATTCTGAATTCTAGTTGTATTACTTTCTCTCTTTTTCTATGTCATTTGTGATCAATAGTCATGAATTATTTGTCGTGTTTCCTTGAGGTCCACTAACAACTTAAGAAACTGGTAATTGCAATTTTAGTTTTAATGACTAGAATTAACCTAAAACAATTGTTATCAAATGTAAGTAAACCATTGCTTTCCATTGTATTTTATTAGCTCCATTGCTGTGATAAAGCCAATTTCTGTTGGTCTGAGCTCATGAGACCTGATTGTTAAATATTCATAAGTTTTGTGAACTAGTTGTTCAATATAACCATTATTTAAAAAATTAAATTATAAAAACTTAGAATACAATAAATTGCATTAAAACAAAGAAATAAATGCTTATAATGTGTCAATTACTTCACATCTTGTCTTAAGGTCATCACATCTATTGTACCTGTAAGTGAAAATATTATGTGATGATGTACTACTCCACAGCATGCTACCATAATGTGTAATGGTGGGATACTCAATTTTCAGTTCTGCATTCTGTGATGTCAGGTTGGTAGGTTAAATTTTGCTGTGGTAGGAGTATGTACACCACAGGCAATGACAAATGCTATAAACCAGAACTTATCTTTTAAAAAGCCAAATTTAGATCTTTCCAAAGACTGCACCTTATGTAGGCTAATGATTCTCAAGCCATTTTCATGCTCTCATGCCTCTTTTTGCCTAGCTCTTGTCTCTGTGGACAACTGTAATGTCATTTGAACTTGGTATAAATTCTCACATATTCTTGGAACTGGGGATACAGTATTGAAGAATATTGACAAAGTCTCTGACCTCATGGAACTTTTTGGTTAAAGTTGGAGATAGAAAAACTATGCACATGAGAAAAAAAATTAACATGATATGTACTATGCAGAGAATTAAAACAGATGTAGCAAGTAGACAGAAAAGTTTCCTGAGAAGGGCATTGTCTAATTAAAGCTGCAATCTGAAGGACAAGATAGAGTGACCCATGTTAGAAACTAGAAAAGAGCATTCCCAGCAGAGGAAATGGTAAGTGCAGTGTGAAAGGAACTGTCAAGCTTATGAAGCAGCCAGTACAGCTGAGGGCGGCACAGTGGCTGTGTAAGAGGAAGGAAGAGTCATACTGAGTCAGTCTATACACAAGTCAAGGGAAGTTGAATTTTGTTCAAAAGATCGTGCACAAATATGGGAGGGGTAAGAAGAGGTTTACTATTGCTGTCATAAAAATTACAACAGATTTGGTAGTTTAAACAACAAATTTATTATCTTATAGATCTTCTTATCTGTAGGTCAGAAGTCCAACATGGGTCTCAGGAAGCTAAAATCAAGGTGTCATCTGGGGGGGGGTCTTCACTTGCTCATTTGGGTCATTGGGAGAGTTCATTTCCTCTTGGTTGTAGCAATGAGATCTCTATTTTCCGGCTGGCTGTGGCTAGACATCTGTTTCTAGAGGTCACTATATTTTTTAGTCTTGGCACTCTCCTCTGCCTTCGAAGTCAGCAATGCTAGATTGTCATTTTTTACCTTTGAATTTTCCCTCCTTCTTCTATTTTCTTTATCCCAACTGGAGAAGTTTATACGTTTTTAAGGACTTGTGATTAGATCAAGCTCATCCAGATAATTCAGGATAATCTCCCCATCTCAAGGTCCATAGCCTTAAACACACGTGTCAAGTCTCTTTTGCCATGTAAGGTAACATGGTCACAGGTTCCAGGGGCTTGTGGTATGGATATCCTTGGAAGACCCTTATTCTGCATACCACTGAAGGGGCATCATCCCAAGGAAGGTAACAAGAAACAGATTCAAGTAGAAGTTGCCAAGAGTCCTTGACTGACTTACTGACCTACCACCAGTTCCTTTGCTCTGCTAAAGGACTAGCACAACCTGCTCACTCAATGATACTATTTGCTGTTCATGAAACAAAGTGACTATCCTCTATGTTTAAAACAAGACAGTGTCTCAGTTATAGAATACACTAGTCTCAAGACGAACAATTCTAGTTACCACTCATACTCTGCCAAATAAATATATTTGGGAAAGAGCTGTTACAATTCACCTGTAACCTGAACTATATGTATGATTTAATATAAAGTATACTCAGGTGAACCTGTTTAGTTGTTTTGAGCCAGCAATTCAGAAGCCACTTTTTCCCCAGTGTTCTTTAAACTTATCAGAAAAATGGGTGGTACTTATTACATTTATTTATAATTTCTTGAGGTCTAACTAATGAGATGCTGGGCCCTAGAATAAACACTTTTATATACATACTATATTTTTATCTTCATAACAACCACATGGGGTAGATGCTATGATTTTTTTTTTTTACGGATGATGAAGTTAAAGCACAGCCATGTTAATTAACTTGCCCAAGGTCACCCACATAGGAAGCCAAGAATTAGGAAGCTAAGGCTTAGAAAGCTTGAGAGATTCCCAAGTTCACACAATTAGTTATTAATGGAACTGGAACTCCAATCCAGTCAGGTCAGATAGACCCCAGAACCATAATGTCCCCCACTCCCTAATAGTTTATGAATTATTGAAGAAGGCCGAGGCTAAGGTATGTTAAGCCTCAATCAGTAAATTATTTCAGTGGCATGAAATAGAATGTGAAACTTACAAATGTTACCAAAAAAACAGAATAATTTTGATTAAGGTAAAGATAATAAAATATTTTCTCATCCTTGCTGGGTCTGGGTTTTTTTTTGTTTGTTTTGTTTTGTTTTGTTTTTTGATGTTTCCTTAGCAATTCTCTATTGCAGTGAATTAATTCCCATGTGAAATAACTTGGGTATTGATATGCTGACCTTCTCACAATTTTATAGGACACCTGCACGAGACTACATGATTACATGGAGACCACACTGAACCCCTACTTAATCAACATCACCCTCGCGTCCAAAATATGTAGCCAAGTGTTTTGTCAGGACAAAGGAATTTGCACAAGGAGAAACTGGGACTCAGATAACTATCTTCACCTGAACCCATTGAATGTTGTTATTGAAACTGGAGCAGATGGAACATTTAAAATAAAAGGGAAACCTTCAAATGAAGACCTGCAAAACTTTGCCGAACATTTTCATTGCAGCTGTTATGCCAATACCGACTGTGAGAAGAAAGTTGTTATAACAGATACTCATGTTCTCAATGTGTGTGCTACTGAAGATGTTTGTTTAAATACTGTTCTGAACAAAAAAGAGGACCTGTTTCGTTCAAGGATACTGCCGTTTATATTATTTTTAGTAATAGTATTAATAATAATAGTAATCATAGCATTTTTTGTGAAAACAAATAACATGGCATGAAAACAAGACTTTGAAGGTGTCGGGGAAGAATTTCTAGGGCATCACAAAAGAAATAATGTGTCTATGGCTTTGAAAATTGAGCAACAGCAAGGTAGCGTGGAGACATGGGACAAAACAAACTTCAGAAGGATGGAACATTGAGTGTGTCTTTCAGAGTGGTGTACAGCAGGTGATGGCCACACGATGACTTTAAAATAAAGGTGCTCTCAAACCTCTTGGCCTGCTGTATATTTTTCCATGCCCATACAACATGATTTTACCTCTGTCACCTTTCCCTAATGTAAGCATCATGAGGAAAGATACTTGCTTGTTTTACTCACTACTATATCCACAGTGTGATCAGCAGTATCTGGGACATAGCAGGTGCCCACCAAATACTTGCTGAACAAATAAAAGCCAATAAGGAGCCAATGAAAGCTTTTAAGTGTGGCAGTTGTCATGACCACTTCTTATTATCTAAGTCTTGGACTAATGGTGCCTTTTTTCTAGCCCTCTCCTCCACCCTCCGCTCCAATTATAATCCCACCACAAAAGCCACTGTTTCATAAGAAAGCCACGAAAGCCCTGACTTGTGTGGCTCAGAGGGTTGAGCATTGTCTGTAAACTGAAGGGTTACCAGTTTGATTCCCAATCAGGGCACATGCCTGGGTTGCAGGCCAGGTCCTCAGTTGGGGGTGTGTGAGAAGCAACTGATTTATGTTTCTCTTGCACATCAATGTTTCTTTCCCTCTCTTTCTCCCTCCCTGACCCTCCCTATAAAAGTAAATTTAAAAAATATTTTTAAAAAGAAAGCTATGAGAAGAGGCAATTTGATAATCTTCAGAGGACATGTTATATAGACTAGTTTACTTAGAATACATGAATGGCTGTCATGATGATGATCAGGATTTAGAAAAATGGAGGCAAAAAAGTAAATTGGAAAGAGCATGAATTTTGTAATTGGATAGTTATAAAAGCAAATCCATGTTTGCAACATTTCTAGCTATACAAGCTTGAGAGAATTAGCTAACCTGGCTCAGCTTCCAGCCTAACAAAATGGCAATAATATATACCTTTTAGGGTTCTTAAGAGGGCTGAATAGAGTAATACATGGAAAGCATTTGGCCTTAGAAATAACTGTCTTAAAAATAAGTGTCTGTGGGAGAAGGGATGGGTACATTTTTATTGGATATGGAAAGGTGCTCATGTTGCTGCTGTGAGATAGAAGGTCAAATCAGGAGACTTACGCCATGCAGACATGACCATGAACCCAGTCAGAGAAGAAGACACAAAACAGTAAAAGAGAATCGGCAGGAATAGTTTAGGTAATACACGTATATAACTCTGTATTTGATTATGTTTGCAGAGGCAAAGTTGTATTTCCATTCAGATCAAATATTTTTGTCAGGGATCATGCTCATAACTCAGGCACCAAGAGGACGATAGAGTAGCACAGCTCTCCAGGAGCTTGTACAATGATGGAGATAATGGACATGGAAACAGAAGTTGTCCCTAGCATGTGATATATACAGAACTGCAAAAATTAAAGAGCTCAAAGAACACAGGTTCATTCAGTTGATTCACACAAAGTGCTAAAGAAGGGCTTCCCACTCTTCATCAAACCAAACCTAGCATGAAAATACACAGGTCTAACTGTTCATTTGTACCTCCATTTCTTTATGAGGGCTCCCATGCCTCATAAAGCATTATATTTGTTTGCTTTTCTCTTCTTAATCTGTCTTTATCAGTTTAATTTTCATACCCAGCCACGAACCCAAAGAAGGTGGAATGAAACTTTTTCCCCCCACAGCCCAAAGCCAGCAGAAATTACTCAGATCAGCCAATCCTAAACTGTTCAACCTGCCTTGCCTTGCTTTTCCCCCAAACACTGGTGTGTGCTCTCCCCACTCTGCTTCTGCTTTCTGCCTGAAACCTGGTGTTCCTCGTGTGGCTCTCCTTATCATCACTCAGTCACCTTTATAAATTAAAACTCCAAAACAAATGGGGAAGCAGAAGAGCTATTCTCTTTGTTAATATTCTATTTTTCACCATGAGTTCCTCTGTAGTGAATTCAGAGCTCAACATGTTAGCTGAAGTGTACTTTTTAGACTAACTCTAAAAAGAGAGTCTCTCATGGAAGGGTCATTTTTGGGAAGATCTTTTTGAATAACTATACGTAGCAAGTGGCAGTTTCCTTTGGATTTGACAATCTCAGCTCTGCATTCAGAATTCTTATTTCAAAATTCACCAGCTTGCCTCCCAGTGCCACCCAGCTGAGAATACTGGGACTCATTATCCGTTTCACTTGCAAAACTGCCAGGACGGTTTCAACTCAATCATTCTGCTCAAGATACGTGTTGACGACACTAAAATTTGACACGGAGTGGTAAATAATGCATGTAAAGAACCTGTGAGAAAATCCATCGATTAAAAACCCCGTGTTCCTCTCTTCTGTTTGTAATCAGAGGGAGGGAAGGAAAGGGGGAGTGGTTGGGAGAGAAGAAAACAAAAAGAGGAAAGAGATGAGGGAAAAGAAGTATAATTCATTAATTTCTTTGATCCAGTTGAGGCTTCTAATTAGCACAGGACTGAAAAGAACATCTGATGCTGATACAATCAGCCTTCAATTCCCTGTAAAACCTTACTGAGGTTAAGCCCAGGATGGCTATGAAGGCAGAACAATTTATGAACACTCATAAATTTACTTAAAACCTTTTTTTTGCTTATCAATTTTTATTAGTGTTTGTGTATTTAAAGTATGGCCCAGAGATGCCGAAAGGTTGGATACCTCTGCCTTACAGTGTTAGTATTTAAATGACCTACCTGATGTTAAACAAAACATTTTAAATTCTAGAGCTGAAAGTCTTTTCAATTTTTTTTAAATTTACTGATTTGAGAGAGAGCAACATCAATTTGTTTTTCCAATTATTTATGTATTCTTGGTTGAGTCTTGTATGTACCTGACTGGGAATTGAACCCACAACCTTGGCATAGTGGGCCAACACTCCAACAAACTGAACCACCCAGCCAGGGCCTGAAAGTCTTTTGAAAAGAAAGGGCTTATTAGACCATTGCTAACAAAAAACAAACAGACAAACACGGTTTGGGGAATGGAGTCTAGACTACCAGCTGCATGGTTAGGTTGAAAAAACAACATGTCCCCAGAGATTTGCAAGCAGGTCTTTTTTTTTTTTTACTACATCAAGATTCAAGGGGGCATCTAAAACATTCTGAAAGGATTTCAATTAGCTATAGACAAACAGGGTGTGAGAACGTGAGGTGAGCTAGTACTGGGATAGGCAGAGCAGGGTCATAAGGAAGAAATGCCCACTCTATGGATTTGCTGTGGGCCACTGTGGGGGCAACTTGGCCCGCAAGTCCCCCCCCCCCCCCCCCCGTTCGCCACAGATGAAAGTGAAACTACCAAGACAGGATCTGCTTGGGGAGGAGAGGTGGTCAGTCCCTCAAAGGAGAAAGACCAAGAACGTCTTCTTCAATGGCTTTTATTAGTTTGTAATACATAGGAATACAGGTAAAGTTCATCAATCAATGTCAGGTGGCAAGGATTAAACAATAGAACATTTCAAAGAGATCTTAGGACTTAATCATAGTCAGTGTCTGTCAGGTAAGGGGGTTGCAAAAACTTTGGGAGGCATACTCATTTCCTGCTCAGACCCATACCATATGAATGAAAGCACTCAGCAAAGCAGGCTTCACAGGACTTTAGAAACGCTTTCTTAGGCCTGATCACCTGGAACCCGCTCTAGCTGGCAAGGAGCTTTACCACCTTCCCAGTCATAGCTTTTTAGGCTTAAGTGGTTTAGAGCCAGGAAGTGCTTCTCCCAGCGGGCTCGGGCTGAATGGGGACTCGGGCTATGTCAGAATAGCTAGGGGGCGAGGGTTCATCACTCCCTCTCTGCTGCAGCCCCCAAGTCCTTCCATGATGGCCTCCCAAGTAATCGTGTCTGGCTTAGGTTGCCCTTTCTCTGAAGGGTCTTACCTATCTCTGATTAACCAACAGAGAGCATTGGGGGCAGGGATGAAGCAGAATCAGCATTGCTGTCAGAGACAAGCTTTGTCCCCTTAGTGGCTCACATTCCAGAGGCTGCTCACTCAGCCTTAGCCATGGGGGGCAGTTACAACTCCTGAAACCAGTCAGAGTGGTTCCCAACAGGCCACAGATTGGAAAAGTTACATATAAATAAGAAGCAGAGACTCTGAGGGTTCTGTAGCACCTGGCTATTTCCTCTTTGGGTAATTATGGAAATAGCCACCTGGAAATTAATCTTTAAATTTCATCAGATATAAGGAAATGTGAGCAGGTTTTTGTTTGTTTTTTGTCAGAGTTGATCCATAGCTATTTACAGGTTAACTGTTCTGTCTCTTTCTCTCACTTTTTGGCCACTGCAGTTTTAATTTGGCACATCTCAGAATTTTTTTCTTGTTACTGGGCTGGCCCATAGGTCAACCTACTCCTAGTTTTCCCTACTCCTTCTTTTCCCATTGCCTCTGACTTTTTTCCTAGAACCCAGACTATGAAGCCACAAAGCGGTGGTACTGTTTGGGGTGTACCCAATCCTCAGTCTGCCCTGCACTCATAGGTTATGGCACAGTTACAGTCACTAAAATCTTAAAAGTAAAATTTTTGAAGCATTCGGTTTCCTGCGAAAAACAAGGAAAATGTTTCACCTGTCACAGAATGTCTTTCTTTATGTCTAAACTGTATTCTTACAAAGTCATTGCTACTCATGGTAAAATAACACAACAGTTACACAGTGGGAAACCAAAGGTATCTTCTCTTCTCCCTGTTCTAATGATAACTTCTGGCTATAATTTCTTGTATTTAATTTCAGAAATGTCCTAGGAATGAATAGACAAATGTATGTGCATATTGTTAAAAGATAAACTGAGGTATATTAAAAATTTTAAGTGTATTTGAGCAAAAATTGATTAAAACTGTGCAGCACTGAGCCAGAAGTGGTTAGAAGCACTCTACCAACAGCAGCTGGACTTATATAGAC